ACATGAAATAATTGAATTTTAAATGTAAATTTGTGAGAGTTAATATAATAAGTTAATTAAGTAAAAAAGTTTGATTTTAATAAAAAATATATATTTATATTTATATTATTGAGTAAAAAATATATAATGATATTTAAATTTTTATTTTAACTAAAAAATAATAAAAATAAAGATAATTATAGTTAAAAGTTACCAATTAAAAGACTTGATATAAAATTATAAGAATTAAAGTAAAATTTTATAAAAATAAAATAAGTAAATTTAAAATTGTAACGTAAATATGTGAGAGCTAACACAATAAATGATAATAATATTTTTTTAATTAATTAATTAATTAAAATTTTAATATTAAAAAAATAATATTTTTTAATTTAAAATAAAAAATAAAATAACTTTTAAAATAAAATAAATAAATTTAAAAATTATCTACTCTATTATCTTAACACAAATAAATTTAAAAATTATATATATTGTTTAATCTGTTAAACAGATTTTTATTATTTTTAAAATTTTTATTTATTAACTTTACAGTAAGGTTAGACTTATTTCTTGTTAACAATTGTAATAACATTTAATTCTCCGCGAAATAAAATTGCTTTGCCACTTAGAAATTCAAAACACGATATGTCAAACGATTCGCAAACTCAGTCTCTGGTTTTCGGCTTACCTTGGCCGGAGTTCAACGACGGCTTGTTCTACGACGATGTCATCAAACCGTCGGATTCCGGTAATTCCATAGTTTTTTTTTTAATTTTTTTAATTTTACTGCTTTAAATTTTTAACTGAAACCATTTATCTGACAGAGCTCACTTTGATTGAGTTTTACTCAAGCAAGTACAAAAATTCAGCTCCTTTACAAGGGTATTTATGCTTAATTCTTTATAATTATATTCCATTTTCTTTTCGGTTAAACATTTTTTTTTCAAATTATTAACTATTAAACAGTTGGTTGCAGCGAATTCAAAATGGACAGGTTCGTTTCAAAAATTTAAATAAAAAAAAGGAAATTAATGTATAGAATTAATCATTTTTAATTCTTTATAATTCCAATTTCGTCCATTTGCAGATATCAGTTGATGGAAGAGTCGTTAGAGATCCAAACACAATTCTGAGGTTTCTTTTTCTTGTTCTAATTTACGCTATGGAAATTATTTTCCAGTTTTTTAATATCTTTTGTTTGGCTTTTGAATTGATTTCTTGTTTCTTTTAGAGGTAATTCAGAGTTAGTTTACCATAGGCTTCCTTGGAAAGAACCCGACGCGCCTTGCGCGCTTGAAGTTTTGTACGAGGACGATGATATGGTAAATGTAATTTTGTGCACATTTATACCATCTTTAATCTGTGTTGCTATGACAAAAGTATTTGTCCTACATGAGTGCATTCAATTTTTTCCTACGGTTTTTCTTTATCTTTGAAGAGTCAACATTTTCATTATTCAAGTCCACTTTGACATGTTGACATGCTACTTTTTAGGAAATATGTAGAGTCGAAGAAGAATAGTCTCAAACGGTTTGTAAAGTAGTAATGGTTTCTTTCCACTAGATTATGTTGAAGAAAATTTCTGTTGGAAATATCCTTTTTCGTTTTTAAGAGAAATATCCATGTTTTGAGTTCTGCTCTGGGTTTCCAGGTTGCATAGATTTATCCTTTTTAGTATTATGGACACCTTGATGTGTTCATGTGATTTACATCTTCTCTGGCTTTTAGGTTGTATTGAAGGACTTTGGGTTTCGGTTGAATTTCTTGTTATTCTCTATATATTACCAGTACCCAAATTAGAGTGTGGGAGTTTGCAGTCATGGTTGATGTTTGATGTAAAATTGAAATTTTTATGTTTTCAGATTGCTTTAAACAAGCCTTCCGGTCTTCAAGTTTTGCCTGGTGGTCTCTTCCAGCAACGGACTGTTTTGACACAGCTTTCTTGGCGTGTGAGGAAGCAGAACTCTTCCCTAGCAAGTCAAGAATCACATCCAGTTCCTGTACATCGTCTAGGAAGGGGTACATCAGGTTCGCGCATTCATCATTTCTTAATTGATGCTGATAACATGACCAAGGCTGTGTCTTTCTCCGCATTCATGATCTTACTTGCTCAAGAGTAGATGTTAAGCAAGGGTGTGTTGACACAAGGAAGTAATAAATGGAGAAATAAAAAGCTAATGTTAATTTATTTTAGAGCCTCATACTTTATCTTTGACAGTTGAGTAACAAGTCTGGCAATAGTTTACTGGAGAATTCATGTTGTTGACAGAATTATTGGAGTAAATCCTTAAATGTTGTTGTAGTGATTCTTCCATAGATAACATGTCAGCAATTTATGTTCCTTTCTATGTGATATTACTGGCTTACTTCTTTACTGTTCGTTTTCCTAATTTTTATATTAACTCATTGAGCATGAGCAACAACGGAACTCTAAATATTTTTTGTGGTGGTCTGATTTGTTGCTGGTTGGCGTCTAGGAATATTACTTTGTGCAAAGACAAAAGCTGCTAAAACTCGCCTCGCAGCATATTTTGCTGATGGAACATCTCTCATCGGAGCTAACAGGTATTGAGAGAAATCAATTTCCATCATGCTTGCTTCCATTTGTAGCTTATTAAGGCTTTGTTCAGTTGATGCGTTTGCCATTTGCCTTTTGTTTCTATGCATTTTAATTTTTTGCAAAAAAAAAAAGAAGCAAATAGCAAAAGTACCAACCAAATGTAGTTTAAGTGAACAAAACCTATTTTCACTTCTAGTAGCCCTTTTTTAAAAAATATTTTAAACAAGTTGCTCTTGGAATCTCTGTGTACCTGATCATCAGAAGTTAAGCATCATGTCTGAGTTAGTGGTTTCTGTTGACACTTATATTCTAACTGTTTGGGGAGCATCCATAAATATGTACGGAACTGAAAACAAGTTTCAGTTTAAATACGATGCAATTTATAATTCTAAGATGAGACATATAGGAATTTGCACTATATGATGAAGTCAAATGTACATAATTTAAATTTTTCAAAAGCTCCAAAGAAGACGACAAAACAAGAAATGCAATAGCTTGGGGCTAAAAATAACAAGCCATTGGAAAAAGCAAGAGCAGCAATATATAAGATGATAAAAAGTGGAAGGAGCAACTTTAGTAAGGCGAGCATTCAGCTCTCGATACTTTAAAGCTGGACAATCGAAAAATGAATTATAGAAGTGTAAGGGCATGCTGTAGTTGACGCGATGCGATAATACAGATAACTGGCTTGAATAATTAAGATGGAAGTTTTGTATTCACAATACAGATTGGATCATTACTTTGGAGCTCTCTAAGTTTATAGCCATCTTCCAATTTTTAAATGTCTATATAAGTTACTGATGAAACCATTCTTCACATGTATAGCAATAGGAAAATGCAACTTAGTGGTACCAGGAAAATTTCAAAGATGTACCGGGCACTTGTGACGGGGATACTTGGTGAGAACAAGGTGATGCCTACATCGATCACTTTTTCTCATAACAATAAGAATGGTTGTTTACATTTCTATTATTCATTTAGTTCCTAGTAAATGTATAAGATGGTAATTTCAGTTATCTGTATCTACTGATCTTGTATCTTAGTTACTTTTCCTGGCATAAAGATTTACATCGACTGAAATTTGTTGCATCATAGTTTGTTATCAATCAGCCTATTGGAATTGTGCAATATCCTGGGGTGGCCAAAGGACTATACGTTGCTTCACCCTCAGGTTTGTTCATTATGTGTCTAATACATGTCATCTTAAAAGTTCAATAGAGTTTCTAATCCATGGATTTAAAAGAGCAGTACCAGCTTTTCATGAAATTTAAAATATTGATTTATACCTTGAGTTGCTATCTCATGATGCCATCTGAAGTATCAAATGTCTTAATGACTCTTCCTTGGTCACTTTGCACTTGACCAGGGAAACCTGCTTTGAGCAAAGTTGAAGTTCTTGAGAAAGATGAGCAACAAAACCACACATTGGTCCAGGTATCCAATCTTCTTTATTTTGCTCTGTCTCTTCTTTGGGTTTTTCTTTAAAAGGGCGGGGGGGGGGGGGGGGGGGCGGGGGTGGGGGGTGCGGTGCGCGTGCGCGGTGCGCGGTGGGTGTGCGCAGGGTGGGTTTGTGGTGGAGTGTGCTGTATGAAGGCTATTATTAATTAAGCATTTGGTGAACCTCTTGAAAGTAACATTTCCATGAATATTTTGGTGGTTATGAAGAAACTTATATCGAGTTCTGTTTTGATTTACTTGAATTAATATTTAAGTTATTTGCTTGACAGGTTGAGATTGAATCTGGAAGGCCTCACCAAATACGAATTCATCTTTCTTTCATAGGGCATCCTTGTTGGGTAAACATTGAAGCATTGTTTTGTTTAGTCAATTCAATCTTAAATGAAGTCTGGAGTTTCTTGTACTTAAATGCTGCAATTGCTGAAGGAAAGCATGTCACATCTGCATCTCTAAGTGACCCTGTTGTTGTGGTTCAAATGAGATATTATTTTTCCTATTGATCAGGTGATCCACTTTATATTGCTGGTGGCCAGCCGAGGTGCTTTGACTCCGAGTTTGTAGATGAAAATTATGCACAAGATGGGTATGACATAGTAGATTTGCTTTCATTTCCTTCCTGATCTCCCTATTATTTTTCTGAGAGTAATAGCAGCTTCTCTTATGTGCAAACCTTTGCCGTGGCTTAACTTAAAATTTGAAGGTAGGCAGAATAAGAGTAAGCATTAACATGAACAGAGTATCTAACTTGATATGTATAATTGTTCATGAACTCTGTGCTCTCATTTGCCTGTGTCTGGAAATGTTCAATTGACAAAGCCTTAATATGAACAAAGTACCAAGTCCTGTTAAATTGGCCTGGATGTCATGACTTGTTCGGGACTCATGGATTTCCATCCTGAGCCACATTTCGGTTTGTTGCCAAGTTAGTAAATCTTTATGGAACATTTTGCCTCCAAAATATCTGTTTAGATAATTGTACAAATTATCTAGTTAGTTAAGAGTTTTAATAGACTACAATATCTAAGTTGGGTTTTATCAAAGTGGATTAGATATTCTGTATACTTTATAGGTGCAATAGTCTGGAAATAAATTATTGAGAAATTGTGCAGAGGGTACGAGAGGCCGGTGAACCCTGTGCCTGGAGACTGTGGCTACTACTTGCATGACATCAACTTCTTCTCTCACACCCAACCACAAATGAGGTAAGTTATAAGCACATGAATAACTGGCACTTCACCTGAAAACTCCTAAACTAAATCCTGAAATTGGCCAAACTCATTCTTCTTATTCTTCTTTTACCCTAGTCCTTAGCAGCAATTTCACAGGTGTTTGTCAATTTTGGTTGCAGATAATTAACATAACTGCACCACTTCCACCTGTCCTTCAAACACAAGATGAGGTCAGAAGGTCAAGGGAATCCCAATCCATATAGAATACCCAGTTTTGTTTACAAGGAGTATCATAGAGTATGGTCTAAAAACAGTCCTATTCCTAAATGAATTATTGTCGAAATCAAATATAATTTGAAGCCAAAATGGTAGAATCACTCCCATTCTTGTAGGTTTTTGGCTTAAAAAGGAAAAAAGTTGACCATTTTAGAGGGTGAAACCAGAAATTGGCCTTTGAACAGATTATTTTTGTGTATTTTCCATCAAATACAACAAATACAAGGCTGCTGGAATATTACAAAGCACCTAAAATATATTACCAAAAAGACGGGACACTTCAGAACCGTCCACTGCCCTATCATTTTTTCATTAAAACAAATACAAAACTATTATACAGAGAGCAGCAAAGAAATGTTTGCCGCCAGAGGGTTGCGTCCTACTACCTGCCTATGTCCCCCTTACCTCTCCATGACTCTTCTTCCCTGCCGATACTCCCACTCTGCCCGCCGTACTGCTCCGTTTTCGCATACTGCATTCTAAGTACTGCTACTGGATCTGAAATACTAGGTCCCCCTACAATTACCCCACCTCTCCCCACAACGTTCATTCCAACCATTCCTCCCCTTCCCTGCTGCTGTAAATTAGGGATTGCATCGAACCTATTTCGTCTTTGCATCTCCGAGAACATTTCTTGCCGCTGCTTCATATCCACAGTAAATGGTGCCACCTTGGTACAATCACGCCCCCTGTACACTTGATAATCCACCACCCCGTTGTTGCTGCTTATTTCCCTTGGGGGGTAAACTGACACACCATTCAAGTTTCGCTCATTACTCCGAACGACAGTCTGCAACGCCTGCTGCTCCATTTGGGATGAGGATGAAGGATAGTTGACAAATGCAGCAGGGTACTTGGCCACTAAGATAGCAGAGTCAGGCAAAGATGACAACCCAGTTTGTATCCTGTTCCCATCCCAGAATCCATAACTCCTCTTGGGAACATTTTCCGACGCATGATAATTATTTCGGTCAAACTTTGAAAAAGACGTATTTCCATCAACATTATTGTGACCTGTGAATTTCAAATTTGATGATTTCGTGGTCTGTTTTGGAAAATGGGCTACCTTGTCATCATCTTGGGAACTAGAATTGAGTATTTGACCAAACAGCTTGACATTGCCATTCCTGCAAGGTTTTTCTGTATCTGACATACTCCGTGAATGGGACTTTGGATGCTCATTTGCCTTTTCCAAGTTTTGCACCAGGAGTGGAAGCTCAGCCACTGATTTCGAACTATTACACTTCTGAAGATGACAATCCTGAGCCAAATATGGACCGGTAACACCCCTTTCCAACATAGAAAGGCTTTTAACTTCAGGAAGCTGACTACGACTGACATCACCATTCATTTCTTTCACAGTTGAAACTTGCACGGGATAACCCCTTAGAATCTGGTAAGATTCAGTAAGATTCACTACCGGCTTTCCTGACAAGCGGTCAGACTCATCTCCACTCACAGATTTGTGAGCCTCTTTGTCTTCATTCTCCTGATAATCAAGTGTTGATGACAATCTATCTTGGTTGCATACTTTCTCACATTGCAAGGCATCGGAATCATGCAATGCAGAATCTGTAGCAGAAGAGTTTTTCTTTGGCAGTAATACTGCAGAAGCCTTTTCAGCAGAGTCCAAGTCAAGAGGATCTCGATGCAGGCCTTTAGTGTTGACGCTAAAACCTGAACAAGAACTTTTATCGATGGACTCATCACTAGTTTTATTTGAATCTAGCCTAGAGATACTTTGACTGCTAGTCTCTGCACTGCATTTTATATCAGGTTCATCCAAGCCATTTTTGCCCAATGAAGTTTCCTGTGCCTTCAAATCATCTCCAAACCCCTCAGGAGCACAACCAGCAACTGATATAGGCTCAACCACAGCAACTAAACTAGGAGGGCAAGGATCAACAGCCTCCCGAACAGATGCTGGTACTGCAACAGTAACACCCTGTTCGGCCGCTTGCTTTCTTCCTGCATTTAGATTGGCCAAAGCAACACTTTTCTGGACCTCCACTGACTCAGTCTTGTTGCTACCAACATTCATATCACCACCACTTTCACAAATTGGCTCAGGCTGGCCCACATCAGACACCATAGTTTCCACTACCTCAGAATCTCTATGATTTAATAGAGCCCCATTGTTTTCCTCCAATACATTCAGGTCAGTCTGCAAACTGACTTCCCCAGTAGGATCAGATTCATCCACATTCATGCTCACAATAGTGGAAGGCAAGTCCTCCACTTTAGAGCCCAACTTATCACTGCAAACAACTGAGCTCTCCAGGACACAAGCATCCTCAACATCACTCCCACCACCATTGGCATCATCACTCATTGGTGTTCCCATGTTTCTTGTTCTTGGCTGTATCAAGTCCAGTCCAAGGCATTTGCGAGCCTTACTAAAGAAAACCTTGCATTGATCCCTGGATCTTGTTCCAACACATCGTGAGATCATCGCAAAATCCTTACCATAAGACGAAACAGCCTGTATAAAGACAGATTTTTCCTCATCTGTCCAATCGGCAGGATCCATTTCCCCACAACTCTCATCTGAACAAGTATCATCATCTATATTCTGAATGACATCAGATGTTGAAGGCCTTTTGACCACAGAATCAACTTTTTGGCACTTCCACTCACGTTGGTAACTCTCTCCAGGGTCGGCAGAACTAGTGATACAAGAACTCATTGCCTCTGAAGACAACGAACCACATATCCCTGCTAGAACATCAGCAGCTACGGTTTCTCGATCATTCCCAATAACATCAAAACTGCTTGACCTTTCTACAATGCTATCATCAACTCGTGATGCTTTAGAATCAAAACGCCCTCCCAAAAAGATCCTACCAGAAGATGTCTGCCGATTTCGCATGCCACTTTCTGCATGAGCTGCTATAACTGAAGCTTCACCCAGAACATCTAGGGAGGCAGCATTCAATTCACGGCTCCATTTTTTCCCTGATGTCAACAAGTAGGTATTAGCAGTTGACTTCCCTTGCTTACTCAGATCAAGCTTCTTCTTTGTTTTCTCAAAACATTCAGATTTGTGGTTTTTGTAATAGAACTCAACACAGTCTGCAGTTGTCTTATGATCAAGAAAGGAGGCAATTTTTCTGAAGTCCTTCCCAAACGCAGCCAACTTATCCATAAAAATCTCCTTCTCTTCAGATGTCCAGGGATTGATCAAAGTTCTTTCCTTCTCAACAGCACATGGATCTTCAACTAATCCATTACTAGAGATAAACCTAGAAACCTGCTTCTCTTTCTCATCCAAAAATAATGCTGGCATCTTCAAAGCATTCCTGTAGAGCCTGACATGGGAATCTGAAAGCAGTTTGCTCACAAAATTAATCATCTCTACATTAGGTTCCAGGCTCAGATTTCCTGCTGCAAAACAACCAGAAAAATAATTAGAGAATATGCATCAGTAAGTCCTTAGAAAACAAGAGAGCATAAGGCAAAACTGACATTTTTTTTAAAAAAAAATATTATCAATATACATATCAGCAGCATTAATGAAGGCTAATCGATGTCACAAGCATTACATTGATTCTAAATATACTCAAAAAGTTCCATTAGAAACAACAATTAGCACAGAAGAAAGCATTTAAGCAAAAAACATAAGATACTTTTTCATGTTTTTTCACCAGGAAAACTGAAGCCATCAAGAATGCATTTTATAATCTACTTTGTCACAAGCATTAAGAGATAACTGCAGTGAAGCAGAATGTTATGCTGCATTTAATGCATCAACCATAAAACTAACAAATAAAAACAGATATATTCTAATTTCTAACATTTTGACTATTCATTACTACTTAAATCTCAAGCTACAAAACAAACTCGGCCAACCCAAACCCATCCTTTGAATTAAGTGAATACAGTTCAATCTCCAACATGCAATCCCCAACTTTTGTGCATTTTCCCACAATGCAATACCGCCAAGAGACCAGGATTCTTTGAAAGGTTTCGGAATATACAACATAGATATCTCATTTTACAATCCACAAGAAGCATAGAATTCTGCCAAATCAAATACTAAAACGATATCCTCCCAAGTAGAACCCAAGAGCTAATTCTCTACTGAAACAGTTCAGCAGGCAAGCAATCTGTACTACCACCTCATATCTAATGCATGAGGCATTGAGGAAGATGCACCACAACACATCCGACCATTCACTGACCAATATCAACTTCAATGACAAAACAAGGTAGAATAGTTCTATTAGCTCAGGCTTCTGACAGCAGAATAACAAATTTACAAGAAATCATAATAAGGGTTGGACAATAAATGCAATGAGCTTTACCAGACAAAGGGCAATGTATTGTCACCCAGAAAATCCATTAACTAAAACCAAGAATCTATAATATCATGAATGACTGACCGTTCAAAAAAAGGTAATAGGAAACAAAATAAAGTGTAACATACTTAAATTAAGGTAAAGCCGTTCAACCACATGAAAAGTCACAAAAGAACTAGCAACACATAAAAACTATTCAGCAGGAGGGTCAAACAATTACCAGGAGAAGTGAGTCGAGAACGAATGGAGGACCGATGCTTTTGGCAGCCACCAAGCGTTGAACGTAAGCTCAGTTCATATTTCTTCTGCGACTTTGCACGATATTTTCTTATCGAAGGTGAATGTATATCTTCTTTCCACGCATGTTGAAATGCTTTAAACTTAAGAGTCAAAACTCTCTCCTTAAACCTTACACACTGCTTCCGCTTTACAATTTTTTCCCTGATTAAAGAATCAGTCTGCCAACATGCACCATTGGCAATTTCAGAAATCTCAATGCTACACCAATCTTTTGGCAATAAGTTATTAAATACTTTAGAAGCACTATTTGCCAATTCCTTATTGGTAGCCAATATTACATCATACATCATATTTTCTGTGTCAGCAACAGTGCTTGAAGGTTCTGGAACATGCACATCATTATCAATCTTTTCAAGCCCACTCCCTTCCCCAGAATTGGGCACACCAGTCCCATCATTATTTGAACCAGGAGCTAAATTCACCTCCCCCATTGTTGTCAATTGAGCAGTGCCCAAATCACCAGAACATTCATGAAGCTTAACATCAGATGGAGAAACTGCTTTGTCCAAAGATGATGGTTCCACAAATTTAGATGTAGCCGTTCCAGGACTATCAAGATCCCCATCCTTTGCATCAGCATTAACTTCTTCCAAGACACCATTACAAAGAGGCACCTTCTCCTCAAGAGCATCACCACAAGGATCAATTTTCAAAGGAGCAGGTCGAGGGATCATACTGGATATGGCTTCCAGTTCCTCACAGGCTCTTCCATTTTCCTCAACAGGAAGAGAACTGGATGTTGCTGGGCATGGATATCTGCTTCCAGAGTTCGCTTTCAACGACTTAAGCTCATTTTCAAGTGAATCAATTTCAGATTCAGTCATTTCCAATGCCTTCAAAACATCACCTTTCCATAGTAGCAACTTATTCAAAGCAGTAGACCGAACAAAACTAGAATCCACTGTACTTGGATCATCAGATTGAAGCAAATCAACAAGTGAAGATCCCATATTAATAATCGAGTTCATATCCACTTTCTCTAAATTAAAAGAAGGCCCTTCCAGCTGATTTTGAGACCCAAGACTTGGAGAACCACATAAATTACTAATATCATTATCAATATTTGCAGCTTTGCCAAATGATTTCTCTTCTACACCTGCAACAACCAGGGATATTTTGATAATTAATGAGAAAACCACAACTCATAACACAAATCCATATGTAGGAAAACAAGTACAGGGAGAAGGATATCATTTGACGACCACCAATTAGACATTTTCCAATATAAAAAAACCATTACATGGTTTTCTAATTTGGACAAGATTTGAAAGCCAAAAGAAAATTAAAGAGGAAAACAACTAACGAATAAAACAGTCCCAAATTCACAAATATCTTTCATCACAGTTTTCAACATAGGTCAAACTCTCAATTGGAACCAACTAATCCTGCCAAATATTTGTCATTTTTCCTCCTTTCCAACAAAGCCTAGAATTCTACATAGATAAGCTCTATGCCTTGAAGAGATGGCACCTTGATGACAAAAAGAGAAAAGCTATCACCTCATAAAAACATAAGACTTAATTACAATGAGTTTGCTTTAAGGGGGAAGTGGAGAGTCAAGAACATATTTTTATTCACCTAGCGGTTCTTAAGGCGTGAAAACAGTGGACAATGCTGTCATTGTAATGACAAGAGTCACATAACTATTAAACTAAAGCCGGTAAAAAAAAGCGTGTGGAATGCAGAATACCATGATCAGTTCTTAAGCATAAATTTGATTGGACATGCGGGCCTACAATATTATTGTCAATTAGATTACACACAATCCAACCCTATCAATTTCACGTTACTAAGAAAGGGCATGGGGGGTGAAGTGGAGAGTCAGGAACATATAAGCAAACAAGGGTCATAATTAAAAGAAAAGTCACATGACTGTCAAGCTAAAGTGGTTATATAAAGAGAATACTAATAATATTAATAAAGCACAGATTATATATTTCTCAAACCAGTTCTGAGCAACAATCCAGTTCACCAAGCACGCCTTCAATATTATTGTCAATAAAATTCACGTGTTCCAGATAACTCTGCTTAACACTGAATAAATATATAAGAAAACCTAAGATTTACCTGGTGAGGAACTGCAAGCAACAGATGAGGGAGTTGCAGGAGAAGCACAATCAGAAAATCCAAGAACTCTGGGGCTCTTATCTGCCAAGTTTGAACTGAGGGAATTGTTAGGTTCTGTATTACCAACAGATATTGTAGCCACACCTCTATTCATGCTTGTATCAGGGCCTTCAACTTTCTTTTTCTCATATTTTGCAAGACCCTCACCCCATCCAAGGCGTGGTTTCTTTCTTGACATTGTCTCATCAGAAGGTGCAGCAGATGTGACGCAGGCTGCTGCATCTCCAGAAGGGGACTGGACTGGGGTCAAATTTTTCTGTTGTAACTCAGGCTTCCCTTCGCCAGAATCTACACCACCTAAGCTCTTTGAGCTACTTGAATGGCTAAAGCCCGAACCCCGTGAAGACAAGCTTCCAGAACGGCTCCACTTAAGAGGCTTCCAATCCATCGAGCCTACTGAGTTTTCTCTCTCACATCTCAGTCCTGTGCCCAACCCATTAACACCACTTGTCTTATTATCGTGCTGCTCTTTATGAAGCTGATCCCATGTGTTCACAAAGTCAGAATGAGCATGAGAAGGGTATGTTAGCATATCATCCACTGACCTCTGTTCATTATTCACATCATGAGGCCTTCCAGGGGTGTTTGGGGACCCATTGCTCATTTCCCAAGAATGAGCTCTCCAATCTCTCTGGCTATAAGACCCTCTGTTGTTTTCCCTACTGCTGTTTCGGCTATATTTCCCATCTCCACGAGAAACTGACTGACGGCAGTTCTCATCATCCAATATCTTGTCACCTGACCGGGATGGCATATACCCATGACCACCATTCTCTTCAGCAAACAGGTGCCAACTGCCCTGCTTACCATGACCTTCATAAAATATTTAAACAACAAAGGAAAAAATACAAAAACATTAACACATGCAAGGTATATGTATTCTTCCAAATCCCAGAAAAAAGAAAACAGAAACTCAATCTCTTAAAGTCTTCCCCAGAGAAAAAAAACCCAAAAAAATAGAATATATTTTCCACAAAAAACTAAATTTCTCCATTTAATAAATCAGGGTGCATGTTCTTCAATGAATCAAAGACAAAGCAAATTAAATATTCCCTACCTCCAAAGATTAAAAAAGAAAAGAAAACAGTACCAGAAAACCCAAAAAAAAAAACCACGTTGGTTCCTTAAAAAAAAACCAAAAAAAAAGCAAAAAAAAAGAATATTTAAAAAGTAAAACTATCCATTTCCCAAAAATCAAACTATATGTTCCTCTTTGGGACCAAAAAAATTAAATGCATCCTATCCCTAAACAAAAGAAAAAAAAATACTCAGGAAACCCAAGAATGTTGATTTCTTTTATTTCTTAAATAAAGCAAGAAGAGAAAGAAAACCTTTCCTGGAAAGAGAAAAAGAAAAACTCCCCATTAACTACAATAAAGGTATCAATTCTTCAAAGAACCCAAAGAAATGAAAATTTCTAATATCTCCAAAAGAAATCAAATCAAAAACTAAAACACCCACGGATCTAACCAATTCTCACTTCTTCCCTCCCAAAAAAAACCATCTCGCAAAACTCATGCTGATACAATCCTATCCTTCAAATAAGGCTTAAAATAAAAGACTGAGGTGAAACAAACGACGTAAAAGGAAGGAAAGAACTTACCAGGTGGACGACGCAAGTCAGCGGATCCCCAACGAGCGAATTCTCTAAAGGACCCATGCGGATACGACGACATAGAAGACGAGTCTCTCCATCGAGCCGTCGACGGCTGCTGTGGCTGCGACTCCGTCCTCTCGTGCTTCCTCTCCTTGTAAAAATCCTTCCGATCCCAAGGCAACGGTTCTGGCGGCATCAAATCGCATGAGGCAGCACCACCCCAACAAAACGCCACCGTTTTTCTTCTTTTTCCACAAAATACCAAACCCTAGAAAAAACCTAGCGCTTCTTCTCTACAAAAAAAAAACACAGGTTGTTACTCGGGTTTTCTCACTTCCACAAATCACAACGGCGCCGTAACAGAATAAATCTATGGCTCTTTTCTTAAAAAAACTTACCGAACCGTATTTTGCGGCGTCAGTGAACCGGATCCAACAGCGTTGTATCGGTGGTGATCTTCAGCTTTTGAAAGGTTATCTCTACTTAATCGGAATAATTAAAGAGAAAGCGGAAAAGAGTGAATTTTCTTGGATTTCCTCGGGTTTTCTTGGGTTTCTCTGTCTAATGTTTGTTTGGGAAGAAAAATCTGTGGGGGCGAGAAAGTGAGAACGTGAAGCCGATAAGGGACAAAGAAAGCCTTGAGAGAGAAAGAGAAGTGAGAGATAGGCATCCGTATCTCAACACCTTCATTAAACCAAATTTCAATCAACTTTCAAGTCCGCTAAAATTATTTAAATTAAATATTTAAAAAATCTTCATTAGATTTATATTTATTTACTTTTATAAAAATATAATAAAATAAGACCTTTTTTATTTTTTGTTTTTCTTTTTTGTAATTGTCATCTTTTTTTATCTTTTGGAAATGGACCCGCCCTTTGCTTCCTCATTTAATGCTCCGAATTTGCCCTTGGATTTAATCGGAAATTACGAAAACCGAAAAAAGCTCACTTTTTCTGTCACTCCCTCTTTTTCTGCTGACTGATTTGCCCTCATTTGATTTTCAGAATGACAACACTTGCGTGTCATTTTGTGGTCGCAATGCTTTTTTTAAATTTTGAAGTAATTTTGCTTTTCTTTTATCCTTTTTCTAATTTATTTCTTATTTTATTACGCATCAAAGGGCTTTATGATTTAAAATGCATAAATATATCTAGTAAAAATTAGAGATATCGTAGTTTAGAGAAAAAAATTCAATTAAAAAAAGAAATCAGTTTTATATCTAATAGAATCTGACACAAATTATTGAGGATTAAATTTGCAAATTAAAATTATCAGATTTGATAACAAAACTTACAGTAAAATCTTATTTTTGAATTAAAAAAATAGATAGTTTTTATATAATTTAATATGACAATATCTTTTGAAATGCTTTATTTTTTTTACGGATTTTTTAATATAAAAAATGTTAATTAGATAATTATTTTTCTTTTGAAGAAAATCAATTTTAACATTTTAAATTATCATGAAATTAAGAGTTAATCCAAACACTTCTTTCTTAAATATTCATATATATGCATATATATGATTTTATTAGTTCTATAATAATTAAATATTTCAAATATATTATTTAATCACATTTTTAGTTTATATAATTAAGTGTATATTTTTATGCGACAGTTTTATTTTGATTTTCATTTAATACAAATATTTTTTATGCCATTTTATTTCCTTCTCATTTTCATTTTTTTTCTTCAACTCTATTGAAGAAAACAATTAAGCTAAAAAATTATGCCTCTAAAAAAATTTAAAAACTTCCATTTTATGTCATTTAAAAAATATGCCTCTAAAAATTCTTAAATAAATTTTATTTAAGAATGTATTTTCTGTCATTTAAATTTTAAACTTCCGTTTTAATATGGCTCTAAATTAATACTAATTAAAAAAAATTTTATTGAATTATTACATTTTACACTTCAATAACTAAATAAGAACTAACAATAAATTACTAAAAAATTATTAATTTCAACAAACAAATTATAGATATTAGTAAATATATAGAAATTTTATTGGTTATTATTATTATTATACCATGATAATTTTTAATTGCTGCTAATTTGCACATGGCACAAAGAGAATATTGCTTGTGGAGTTTCAAATTTCATCCCTCAAGGTAATATTATAAACTACTTTTCTTTTAAAAAAATTATTAATATGTATGTTAAAAATTTAATAATTAAATTTGATAAATAAAAAGATATAACAATATTTTAATTTTACTTATAAATTTAAAAATTCTATCAGCAATATATAAAATAATAAAAAGATAATAATTCATTTTATATTTTGCCATTTGCATCCCTATTATTCATCATGCTTTCTTTCTCTCTTGGTTCCTTTTTCCTTTTTTCCTTTAATGTAAAATTTTATATATTTTGTTTTATGAATTTGAAGCTTTACATTGTTTTGGTAGTGTAAAAACAGTACAGAATGCTACCTAATTAAGAAAAGAATAACATTTATTTCTATTTAAATGGTTGTTGGGTTTGCTGAAAATGAATTCTTGAAAAAAAAAACCTTTATTTGTGAAAATACTTTCTAAAGTTAACAATTTTCTCCTCCTTTCAATAACTTTTTCAAAATTAGAAAAAAAATACTTACTCTCTGGAAAGCAACTTGCCTCTATATATGTAAGTACGTATTGACGGATCGAAACTCATATTTTAGATTCTTCTTTTTTTAATTTTATTTTTTTTGTCAATTTTCATTTCACGAAATTGTGAATAACTTTGAAAAGAAAAAAAGAATCGAAAAGGTATTTTCTACTAATTAAGCAAATGTAGGGCGAGTTTTTATTTTTGAAATTCGTCTAAATACATATATATTTTACTTTTCTTTTCAATTACTCAATTAAACTCTTTCCTTTTTGGGTCAAATGCCAATTAATTAACCAAAAAGGAGAATTTTTGTTTTTATTGGTGAAACGTAAAAGCTTTTTGTTTTCCTGCTTAAACCAATAAATTGCTTTGGCACCAAGCAAGGCAGCTATGGCCAATTTAAGAAATTCTATCTCTAAAAGGTCAAATTTCAATAAAATGGCTAAAAAATCTCTTGACTGGTTTATAGTTTCAAAATTAATTAATTTCTTTGGGATTTGGTCAAAATTTACCACTAAAATTTAAATATGCATTAATATTATTTTTGAGAAATTAAAGGGAGAGGAGAGGAAGAAAGAAGTGGAATAAAATTTTCACCAATTTTCTTTCCTTCTCTCTAATTTTCCATGACAATCCCTTTGCTAATTGGTAATTAGTATTTAATTACTTGTGGACCCATTTTACCTTGATAAAAAATTTTTGAGAATAATTTTATAAAGTTTTATTTTTTTCACTGAGACAATAATTTCCTCATGGCCCCCAACATGATTCATTTTGTTTCCTCCCTTGATCAAGGAGGATGTGTAATATTGGACAGCAAACTTTATCTATTTGGGATTGAGTGGCCTACGTCTATCAGGGACCATTTCTTGGTAGATGCCCTGTCCTCAAGATCACTTGTTTTTTTTACCTAACATTAGATAATAATTTTATGTAACATAGTATAAACGTTGGAGGTAAAATATAATTTTATTTATTATAATAGTCAGTATTACATGATATAAAATAATAATAAATTAATTATTAATATTTAATTGATTAAATAAAATAAAAATATAATAATTTAATAAAATAAATTTTATTTAAATTTTTAAATATAAGTTTAAAATATTAAACCTATTTCTTTACTTGTATTTTTTTCTCTTTTTTAGTTCATCTACCAATGATAATTTTTCTACGTGGCATATCTACCTGTATAGCTAATCTAATGCCTATATATTGAATTCTTAAATTTAATTTAATTTAAAAATATTAAATCTAGTTCTTTATTTGTATTTTTTTCTGTTTTAGTTTATCTACCAATGACAATTTTTCTACGTTGCATATCTACCCGTACAGCTAATCTAATACCTATATATTGAATTCTTAAATTTGATTTTCTATATTTCTAAAAGTTGGTGGAGTTAGTTATCTATTATTATTATTATTATTAGTATTAATTTTAAAATTAAGAAAAACGGATCCAAACCCTAAAGTAAGGAGATCGTGTGAGCTAAACACTCTGAGTGTTAATTATTTAATATTATAATTTTAAAATTAAAAAATAAAAATTTATATTTTATTTAAAAATAAAAAAATTATATATCATTCAATAAATAAAATGTTAAGGTGTTAATCATCTATTATTATTATTATTTAACGGACAATGGGCTGGAATTTAGCGTATATATTATTAATGACAGAGGACCAAATTTCTACCTAGATTTCGTAACATAAGTTATTAACATTTTCATTAAAATATTTATTATTCTATAAATGCTTAGGAAAAAGAATTAGTAATTTTCTTTTTTGTTAAACTTGTTGGTAAGAATGCAATAGACGGTGAATGGAGTAGGAAGCTTTGGTCCACTGCCCTGTGAAAGACTAATCAATTGAGGTCAAATCTGAGGACCACTCCAGCCGTGACTTGCACCTTTACTTGCTATCGACTCTTTTAGTCTTTTACCATTTGAAAATAATCTCCTAATATTAAAAAATTCAGGGTTTTTAGGTTTAAACGTAGGATAAAATTCAGCCAAGAGGGTACATACAGCCAGGACGATTAAATTTAGGGTCGTTCTTGCTGACGGTATTTGGACCGGTCCTATGGTGTGGATCCGGCACTGGTAAGGAGGGAAGAAAGGGATAAAGTTATCGACTCAGTGGAGACGGAGACAGAGCGAGAAAGATCGGAAGCCGATCTAGCCCCTCCCCCTCCAGGATCGACGGTGGCGGGAGCTAATCTAGCTCAAGACGGCGTCGCGAAGCTTCGAGGGCCAGATTTGGTCCTACTCCGGCGTGGCCAGGCTCTTGGTCGGCGGTGGAAGTAGAAGGTGAAGAAAAGAATATAGTAAATTGTTTTATTATAAAATTAACTTTAGATATTAAGTATACTGAATTAATTTAACGTAAATGAAAATAAAAAAAAAAAGCATTGACAAAAAGGGAGAAAAGAAGAAAAATTAAAAAAAATTAAGAAATGAAAAACTTGTAGGAAAGGGGAAAAAAAAAAGAGTTTTTTCTTTGGTTAGGTTTACTTTGTGGACTTTATTCATTATTTTTGTAAATATTTTAATATTTTATTTTCAACAATTTATTCAATTTAATTATTATCAATTTAATATATAAAATATAAAATTTATTATTTATCTATAATACTCTCGCTATGTTATCATTAATATTAATTTTACTTCTTAATCATATTCAATAAAATCTTCTCACGTTAGTATTAATATATAAGTACAGAATTATATTATTTTAAATCATGTTGTAATAGACCTTATTATAGAAATAGATAAGCCTAATCCATATTTAAATAAATCTAATAGATTAGCTTTAAAAAAATAAAATTACCCTATAATATATAAAAAATTAATATTTTAAAATAAAAAAACTAATTTTAATTATAAAATTTGCCCCCACATCGTCAAGATCGAATTCTAAATTAGACAAAATAAAAGTTATGAAATGAAAAAAAAAAATCGACTCCAATTTTTGAAATATTGTCCATCAAGATTCTTGAAAAAGAAGAAAAAAGGAACATTTCTTTAATAAAGACTAAAGACATGAAGAATATGCTGGCTTAGAC